TTAAAATTGTATTATTAGCTTTTATTAAAATCCGATATCAGTGATTTGGAACTATTTAAATCTATTTGTAATGAAAATCATCAATTTGCTGTTGGATGTCTACACCAAGTTTTCTAATAAAATTAACTTATTGTAAATATAAATGACTTATAATAGTTCTTACGTGCTTAAATATCATTTGGATGAAAACTGATAGGCGTGTGAATGAGTTTTCCTATGTCTTTTCTGATAGTGCGAGTTCGTCTATTATTTCCTAGATTCGTCCTATAAAATTAAAGTCAGAAGTGAGTTTTTTTATCACTGAAAATATTTATGACATTCGTTTAAAAAGTTTCCGTATTATGACCATAATTGATGTAGGCTTATCCCTTCGATTCCTTCTTGTCATATTAATTTTTTCTTCTCAGATATGAATAGCGCTTCACACGAACCAAGATTTTTTTCTTAATTTGATTTCACTCTGGCTGGAAAAATAAATATAAACAACCGCAACAAAGATATACTTTCCTATTGCTATTAAATCATACTAAATTGTTAATTTATATAATATTTGTAATTGGTTAGGTCTTCTAATGATGTACTGCTATGCTTGCATATAGTTTTTATAAACTATATATAAACACTCTCCAAAACACCAACATTGCAGAATAAAATCTACTTTTTAAATTTCAAATAAAAGCAGGTGTGAAAGATATCTTACTTATGTTTTCATAACGTTAGAAGAGATGCATTGATGACATTGGATGTTACGATAAAAAGTACATGCCTATGGCATCTATTTGAACTTTAAAAGACATGTTTACTACGATAAGTCAGGTTCACAATCTCCTCCCAAACAGAGCACAAGTAAAAGGTAAATAAGAATGTTAGATAATATTACGTTTAACGGCAATCATTTATGATAAAATGTCTAAGTTGAGGCCAAGGTTCTAAACTCAAAATTCTCTACGGATAAAGGGTTTTGATTACACCAATATACTGCTTAGTAAACAAAAGAACTATACGTAAAAAATAATTATTATGAGAACAAAACAAAAATGATCGAAACACCTATCAAAGAGAAGTTGGAGCAAATTTACAATGTTTGAAAGCTTTTACGTGGAGAACTAAGGCAACAATACTATACCTATGTTCAAATTTCATGATTCCATTAAAAAGACATTAAGGTAACAAACAAAAACTGATCAGGGAATCGCGTAAATTCCAAAAAAACGAGACCGGCGTCATCGACAGCGTACATGCAATTGTCTCCCATTACGTATGCATCACTCCCCGTGCAAATCAACACTCCGTTAAAGTGTCAGTATCGGAAATAAGACACATTCGGTAAAATTGGAGATAAGAGACTAACTATACTGGTTTTCAGAAAGAGACTGTGGTTCAGCATCTTTTTTCCTACAATTGATTGATTACAGGCAACATTTCTACTGTAATAAAGATACTACAATTATCATGTTTCAGTTTAATGTAATTGTGTGTCTCACAGTAATTACCTAGTATTTGAACTTATAAAAACATATTGCAATTGTATTATTTATTGTTGTAACGCTGCATCTTTACCTGAGGTTTGAATGCATTGAGGTTTCTGTATTGTATGGATATATTTATATTTATATAGTGGGTGCATTTTTCCAATGATAACTTGTCCTCATTTGACGCATTTAAGTTGCGTTCGTTAATAAAATAGTTAGTTTTGAATTACATTTTCAGGTTCCTTTTATTTATTAGTTATTACAGAAAATATGTACAAAGGCGAATTGTAATAGTTTTCTTTTCGAGAATGAACAGTTATGGCGACAATGACGTATTTTACATGTGTATCAAAAATTTTTGAAGCATTAAGGGTGCATTATATTTTAAAATATACCGGGAGCAGATGAATAGTTCGTTAAATTCTTAAAAGAATTGTTCAATGTTATTAGGAAATTGTGTATTATACATGTGGAGAAACATTTTGAATGAACAATATCAATTTTATTTAATTTTACATCTTACAGATATCAAGTTAAGTTTGTTTAAATTGAATTCCAGTGCTATCACTGAGAGTATTATATTTATCGCTTAGTCATAAACATACATAAAAATGATCAGATAAGCAGCAGTTAAAGCATAATATGTGCCTTAAAATTTATCTTATCGGCCGTACATTGTAAGGGAGAAAATGGGTTAATAAACTGTGTCTTTGAATCCATTGCATTTCATGATCCGTTACCATTTTCTGTAGTTGTTCACATAGGCAACACTACATTGAGATTGTATCAACCAAGGTCTGAAATATAATATTAACGAAATTAGGACCCTCGATTACGATTTTTAAAAGTTGGATTTGTTAAGCCAATATTTCTCATAATCATACAATTTGCCTGAATATGTAGACCACAATATGTTATTGATGTAAAACCCGCCATAGTAATTAGTATGATACATTGTTCAAAAGGATGTCCGAATTAATTCAATTATCAACGATTGTTTGGAATAGTGATTATTTCCTGTTAACAGAATAATGATGCGTTGTTCATAATTCGAAATTATTTCCTCATAAATTAGTGCGAGTTTGTAAGGCAAAAAGTATGATGATTCCATTGCTGATATACATATTTTTTCTCTATTGGTGTCAAGTTATTACAACTGAAGAAGGAAGATGCTATAAAGATTTGCGGTAAAAGATTAATTTATTTTGAAAATGAAAAGAATAATTTCGTATTTGCATTGTGTGCTCCGGTATATTAATATATAGATTCAACCACTGCAACAAGTGTGTTACAATATTTCTCCACACGAGACAGTTTAATTTTAATATTTAAAGCGCGAGGCTTGCCAAGCTTTTTAAATAAGTAAATTTTAACTGTTCAGAGGGGAGAAATATCATAATACACGAGTTATGGTGGTGGGATCTGTTTCTCTAATGATTTTTATCTTTCCTTTTCAAAGATTTGCAAAAAGTTGTGTTCTTCATATGTGACATCATCAGGCATGGTCACCTTTTTTCATGACGTCACAATAGAAAATTCAAAAGAAACCAAGAAAATTTTACGTCATAATTAAATTTTGACTAATTATTTGCCGAGAAGAGTTTTTATTTACTAGTGAGGAGAACAATGCTTTCACAATCGGTAGGGAAATGTGAAAAAAGTGAAAAAATAGAGAAATATAGTTTTAAGAACATTACGAAAAGTTATATAAATATTTAATTAAAGTAACACTCTTTTTGTCATCATTTTCCGTAAAATGAAATAAATTTGATCCCCGTGTTTAATAATACAGTATTGTTATACTTTCCACTTGGTAAAATTTTCTTGATCAAATACGTTTTAATGTTATTATTCAAATATTTTTGCCTATTTATGATATTGCATGACATGATAATTTGGAGTTTAAATCTTTTTATCGTTAATTAATGATTAATAATTCATAAGTTATACAAATACAGGTGTACATATAACATGAAGCGATAAAGATATAGTATTCGTTTTGCAAACGATTGATGCAACAATTTAATCATCATATTGATAATGACTGATTAGTCGCACATTTTCTTTTCAAGTGGTTTGTAACAATATGTAATATGTCAATGGTTTGGCTTGAAACACTACAAACAATCAGACACAGCGGATGTTGACACTTATCTATTTACAAATTCATTTTTTTACATTCGATTATAATGAACATGTTTTTTTTTTTATATTTGAATCTAACATAAGCTATTAACGTTAGTAAACACACACAATTTAAGAAACAGTCAATGAGCTGAATTTTCTATTTGAACATGTTGAAAGAGGTCTTTCAAAAAAGACGACGAAATATGGATATTGTATCATAGACCAGTGACTAGTAGTTTTTTTTTTTTAATTTACACATCTCATTTAGATTAAACAAATAAAGAGTAATCCCAATTTGAATGTAGCCACAATATCCTCACTTTTTTGTTAATCTTTCGGTCTGTTTCGGTAATTGTAAACAAATAGTGATAGGTTTCACATTACGATTTTATTACTAATTGACGTGTTACGAAATGGTATTCTCTCGACGCTGAGGTTGATAAATTTGACTTTAAATGTGGGTATCAGATCAAAACACAAAAGTGATTTCAGGATTTTAAATTATCTGTGTATCAATTGAACCTTGTGTAGTTCTGACGTTAGCGTATATGTCCCCCTAACAACAGATGTCTGTTCGGAAACCTTATCATAGACAATTTTATTATAAATAGTCCTTATGGGACGAGTATTTCATAAAATGTATTCCGTGAGGAATAAACATTATAACTTCCATAATATGTCTTGCATTTTGAACACTAACAGGGGACAATGATTGCAGCAAGGACATGGATCCCAAAAAAAGCGGGAGACGGGAAGCCGCGGCGAAGAAAGATTCTGGGATAAGAGAGACAATCCCCTGACCACCATAATAAATTAAAACTACACATTTTTTTTAATTTTAATTTTTTTTTTTAATCAATAGAGAGGGACCTCAACATGATGGCTTGAGGGCGGTTGTTAAAATAGGGCATTTGAATCTCCTCTTATATCTTATATCCTCCTATCATGATATGAAAATAACTTTAATGAAGCAAGACGTGTGTAGGTTATCTGGTCAAAATCACCCATGTGATTTTAATTTTACCGGTTTGAAAGTTTTGACATAGTCCCCGTATTTAAAGTTTAATTTGTGAAACTCAGCGTCCGGTATATACCTTTTTGTTATATGCACTACGAGATTTCAAGATAATCGACATGTCATTCTATGGCAAGCGGTATGTAGTTGTTGTGTTTGATGTAAAATTTTCATTTATTTTTAAATTGCTCAGAACTAAGTAATGTTAGGTGCTAGAAAAAGTGCAGTTGGTATTGTCACTGATGTCTAACAGCACGGTTCGAATATTGCCGAGGAAACAATAAAAATTAACCAATGCATATATGAAAGATTTGTCATGGTTAGACTAAACACATGATTGCTATAAATGTAAATAAATATGTATGTATTTTTATATTTAAACTTAGTAATGGAAAGACAAAATGGCACTGTTGTGATAATCGAGAAGAGAAAGACGGACGATGCACAGGTGAGAATCCTGATTTAAGAGTTTGGTGGTCTAAGCTTACAAAGAAACGACCACATTAGAAGCAGAAAATTTCTGCTTGGTGAATTTGGTCAGAAGTATCTTTGACAATATTTTAATGGATTTCACATATTCAGAGATAAATAAAAAAAAGTGATTTTTTTAATATACTCTGCTATGTTTTACTGAAATTATCATATTTATCTACCCAGTCAGTTCCACCTTTTTACCAACATATATGATATACATGTAACGGTTGACATGTATTGTACAGAATAATGGAATTCGTGACAGTTTTGTTCCATTTGAATTACAATAATATACATTTTATTTGGCAAACTGTTCTGTGAAGTTTGCAAAAAATGTTTTAACAATTGATTAAATCATCCGGAATTCATTTCGAATTATATATAATTAATTGAAACCGTTGGCAAAAAAAAAATCAAATTATTTTCAGAATTATGTAATTTGTTGTTTTTCATTTGATTTGTTTTAATTGAGAATGTTATTTAATTGATATTCCCTTTTTTTTCAAAATCATTAAAGTATATCTTTGTGTATCTGTTTCGAAAAGATCTTTCATGACATTTACGATTTTTATTTTTGTTCGTTTCCTTATCTGGTATTATGTCTTTTTACTTAATATTTATCCATAAAAGCGCACAAATCATAGAGACGTTATGTTATTTTCATATTGAAACATGTACCTTTATATAGTGTGAGGATTCATCACTGTATGGCTACACGAAAGGATACGACGTACAACGGAAGAAGCCAAATTTAAATAAAAAATACTGGGATATTGTGATTGTATTAAGCAAACATTATTATTGCTTTTGGAAAACCGGAGCCAAAGGGCAAATCATCTTCAAATTAAATATAATAGAATATATAATTTTTTACACACTATTACAGGTCTGGGGTTGATAGTTCGTCCCTATCTTTCCCACTTTCTATTATAAGGTATGATAGCATCTTTTATCAACTTCAAATTGACTAGTTTTTTTAGGCTTTATACTCTTTCAAACAAAGAAACCAATAACTTGTCACTCATTTACTAGCGAAAATGAAAAACGTTTAAAGGTATCTGAAGAATGTCGAAATATAAACATGATACATGAATAACAAATCATTATATTAAAACGTCCTAACATTTTGTCGTGTGGAAGGACTTTTTATACCTGACTATACGAAATGGGATATTAGTCATTGTCTATAGATGAACATTGACCTATAGCTGCCCAAATCCACGTCATTTGAATAGTTGTCTAATTGCCATTTATACCACATATTTTTATTTTATATTCATATACTTAATTTATGGCATTGTTTTTTGTCTTTATGATTACGTGTAAATACATATTCTACCACAGTATCGAGTGTGAAACGATATTTCTTTTCTCAAGATCGTTAAATCTTTAAATTTTGACTGTCGAAATTGTAGTAATGACGTATTACACGAGATTTTGTGCTATAGTCTGTTACTATAATAGTTGTCTGACTATAAACACGATATACAGACAAACGTAATCGTTCTATTCAATGAGCTGCAAACTTATGTGTCTTTCGATGTAACGTGATCAGATATGGACGCCTTTCTACATGACGTCACAATGAAATATCCCCAAAAAAAACAAGAAAATTTAATGTCATAATTGAATTTTGACCAATAAACGGAGATCAAACGAACCACACGTTGACTAAAAAAGGATGAATCGGTTAGGAATTAAAGAAAACAAACTACATAATCTTTTTTTTCATACAAATTTTTATTCATATGATTGTTTTGTAATTGACAGAATGCCTAGATGGATTTAAGTCAGATGAGGGCGAACCCTGTCATCCGTGTATAGATGGAAACTATGGTCGTAAATGCGGAGAAGTTTGTAGATGCATGGCATACCAGATGTAAGTGTCATAACTGCTACAATATCATAACTTAGTTTAGAAAACGTTTCTTTTTTTAAAATTCCCGTTTCACGATAATGTTTTAGAAAATTATTGATATTCTTAGAAGTGTATTTATGAACCTACCTTGATATTTTTTTTCTCTTAAATTCCTTTTTGTATATCAGAGTACCTTATCATCTATGGCTTGGAAAAGGCATTTTTAAAGTTGTTCTAAAAATTATGGCTGTATTGTCATGCACATGAGTGATAATAACAATTTTGAACGTGTTGTGTGGGTGTCGACTTAGCTCAACTAATTGAGATCAAGCTTGTCCTTTATTCATTTAAAGGATATTTTCTAGAAAGCAAATTACAAAACTCTATTACCAAAACTGATTTCTGTTTTAATTTTTGAATTTCGTTTACAGTTGTGATCATATAAAAGGTTGTTTGAATTACTCTGGAAGTGTGACAGTATTATAAAATGATTCAACATACATTGAAACTGGAACTGTGCCTGGAACTGATAATGTGACTGAAAGTGTGGAAAGTATGTATGAATTGCACAAAAAAAATGAATTTTGAAAATTATATTATCCGGGTATATGCATATAGTTTATTTGCTGCATACAGATTTATTTCTAAGACCGGTATTTAAGTACCAAACTGAACACGTGGTATGAATGATTGTTACCACAATTACGGAAATTTCGTTAGCCTATTCCATGTATTCTGAAATGTAATACTAATTTGGTACTTTCCCATTGATTATTTGTTAGGTAATTGATAACTGGGAAATGCAACGACACACTACTCTCCCTAAATGGCAACGGATATTTAGATTTCTTCAAAATTATACAAAATACTCAGATTTTCATCTTAAATTTAGTTTAATTTCATTTTGAAGAAACATGTAATACTTAAAGTATAAGTAAGAAATTATTTCAAAAATCAATGAATGTATCTCCCTCGTCCTAATTTCCAATTCACTGTCTTGATTTGTCTTCACTTTAAGTCTTTATACGTTTAAATACAGTTTAAAATTTTAGAGTATACTGCCTTTCAGTACCACTGAAGAAACATTACTCGTCGAATTGTGTGACTGGTTCAGTTAATTGAAGCTTTTAATGTTATTGTGATGTGTTAAAACAATGACACACACTATGCTTATTTAACAGGCAATAAAAAACTATCAGTTATATGTACATCCGTCTCCTTTTTATACAAACGATCGACTTTTTGTAGGAATTTTCAATACAGAGATGATGACAGTTATTATCACTTGCACAAGTATTATTACTCTTGCTATATTAATATGTATGGTATGGTTCCGATATCACGTGAAGAAAAAACGTGAATCAAATGTTTCTCATCTCGTTGGAAAAGAAAAGGAAGACGTTTTCATTTCCAATGGTATTTATGATTATATAGATGAATCTGAAATTCGCGAAATGAAGATCCAAACCACAATTCCACATGCTGTAAACGAAAACCGAAAATCTAATGAATCATCCAACAGTAATGACACCAATGTGCTGCTAGAGGACGAATATTTGAATCCATATCAACCAATTGTGCCTGAACAAGATATTCACGGGTATTGCGGAAAGGAGATTGCACAGGGAATTCTGTCGAACGGGAACCTTGATGATAATGTCAAGGTTGAAGAAACAGATCCAGCAGACAAACATCCTAGTGAAGACTACACACCAACGGACCAGGAACCCCGAGATTAAATTACCAAACTTTGTGTGTATGATGGTAGTAATCCATGCTCCATATAATCATAAATATTTACCCAAATACTATCGAATAAAAAAGTATGCTTGGAAGTGACACATCTTACACTTGAGAGCAAATCGAATTAAAAAAGGAGTAGCATACAGACATTATATTTTTGAGGTCCCAAAATGATTTAAAAAAACTTATTTTCAAATATGGGAGAACATGGTCTATTTACAACATGTATCAGTTGCTGTTGGCTTTGGACAATCTTTCAGTAGCACTGCGAGTACTCTTAGATCGGTAATTTCTTTTTGCTTTTATGTTAGTTTTGCATAGTGCTTCGTACCAACCTGTTGAGTCAACCCATTTTCATCTGATTATTACAGTTTGTTACTATGTTATGCAACTATACTTTCAATTCTTATTTAAATGTTAAACACCGACACATTATGTTTGTTCCTGTCCCTGTTAGGTGCTTGTAATTTAGTTGGTTGTTGTATGTCATGTTTTTTTTGTTTTTTTTTTCGTTTAATGCTTTGTTATATATTATATAGTTTTGCTTTTATTTGTAATCGTTTCAAATTTTGTCATTTCGTGACCTTTTATATCTGAATATACGGTATGATTGCTGCTAAATGGTGAAGGTCGTACTGTTTCACATAATTTCTTAAATATTTGTACTCTAGTGGGAATTTGTCTCATTGGTAATATCTCAATGTTTTACAAATAACCTATTTTATAATGATAAAAGACCTATATTACTAATAACCGTTGATCAGCTTACATTGTAGTATGCTCTGTGTAGTATCCTGTATTGTTATTCACAATTATCTTGTAAATGCTTTAAAAATATCAATTATGTGCATAATATTTGTCGGCCTAATGAACAAAACAGAATGTGTTGGTTTTTACATGTATGACTGTTACAAACATCTAACATTGACATTTAACGATTCATTTTTTGTAAACTGTGAATGCTATATTTCTATTGGGTTTTGAACCATGATTAGATAACAATTTACTAATTTATCCACATGGAATTTTTAAAAAGTATATTATAAGTAATGTCAGTACCGAAGTACTGACTCATGAGTTGATGATACCATATGGGGCGAGTAGTCTACTAGCAGCGGTATCGATTCAATGCTGGAAATTGAAAATAACATTTCTTGAATTTATTGCGTCTGCCGCGCTTTTCTGGATTGACGCTAAACCTTAAAATTTGAAAGTCGATGATAAATGAGTACTAGAAATGATATTAGCTATGTGACAAAAGGGAGGTAAACGGAAGAGTCAAATTCATCTGATGTCAACTATACCTGAAAGAATTGGTTTTTTGATAAATATTTTCGTTTATTAATGGGAAGTTTTTGTGTATATATTGTTATATATCATGTCATTACCGAGTCACTGACACCTGAGCTGAAGATGTCATCGGGTTATTTACCGTACAATTCCTAGCATTGTACTCATTTACATTGTACTGCTTTATAAACTGTAAAACTTTTTTGATTTGTAAAAACTATTCATATACATATTTGGCTGTATGAAGTTGATATTTGTTCGACATCATATAAAACATTGTATATTATGATGCATTGGTCAGGGTTTTCATTATCATTAATTTTTAAAAGCTAAAACTGTTTGTGTACCCCAGTAATTATTGTTGATAGAAATCTGGAAAAAGGGAAGTGTTCATATAAATATAAACATTTTTTCCTTTCCGTAAAATGTTTTAAAAAATGGTCAAAAATATTTCCAATCACAATGAAAATAAGAAATTATTAACACGTGTGTCGCACACGGAAATCTCTTAGATAGAATACTATCTGCTAATGTCATATGTTTAACAAGAAAAGAATAATAATAGATAAGTGTTTGTCAAAAAAAAATATAAATATGATAAAATAGTTTTGCAAATCTTAATGACAAGGGAAAAGGAATAGTAACAAAAGTATTTCATATTTCCAATATATTTTTTTTAATTTTCCAATCGAGGTCTTTTTTTTCAGTAGTTTTTTCTTTTTCAATCTAAATTTTATGCATCAAGTTCAAACAACAAAGAATTCTACGCTATATTCCATAAACATGTTACTTTAACGAAAGCAAACTTGACAGCAATTATAAACTCATGCAATTATTGAAGTACAGTTTTACTATATGTTGTATGATAATTGATAATAAACCAGCACATCGTTTTTGATAAGGTGTGCGAAAATATCATATTCTTACAAGCTTAAAGTAATAATAATTGCTAAGGCTAAGCGAGATTTTTGTAGAGTTTGTAACTGTTTCCTTCTAAGTATGTTTGCTGTTGAAAACTTTATCACATGTATTTAAAAAAAATGTTTGTATGACCATTTTGTAAATTAAACGTTTTTATGTATATGCATTTACAATCGAATAAGAAAATAATAAAAAAAACATTTCTTTTGTATGTTACTTTTTCATTTATCTTTTAAAAGATTACCTTCAAATTTTAGTGTTGATCCCTGAGCGGTGAAACACATTGCGTATTTGAATAAAAAATGTGTATACACCAATCTATAAAACAGCAACAAAACAACAAAAAAAAACAAAGTCATGTGATGGACAAAGTACGAACAATATATATGCAATATATTGAACTGTTAATTGTCTCAATTCTTGTATTATTGTGAAGAAACTAAAATTATTTTTGGAGATCTGCTATCAAAACAAAATTCCCTAAATAACAAACAAAAAACGAAATATCTTAATAATATGCATGGTTTCCCAACTTGGAAAACTTCACGCTATTTCTTTTGATCATGTTGATATCAATCATGTTCCATCATTGCGTACCCATTCCATAGCATTTTGAATCCAGTGCATACAAACACTATTGATTAAGCACGCCACTCCTCCATAAAACAAGCCTGGAATATAAAATTATAAGGATTATTGTTCTAAGGTACAAGAATAATTTATGATGAAAAACAGCATAATATCAATGTCTCTAGGTCTTCTTAAGTTTTCATGTATCACTGAATTCCATATAATGCGATTGTACCGCGTTCATTTTTTTTGCTAATCACATTAATGTTTCTGTACTTTTAAATGAATTTAAATCTATTTCTATATATGATTCCCTATTTTTTTTCATTGTCAAAACGTGGGTAATTTGTGCATACGACAGATATTACAAAATATAATTTTTTTCGAAAGAAATTGATCCTTCTCCCAAATCAAAACAAACAAACACATATTCAATAATGAAAACAAACAAAAGGAAAGAAAGATATCACAACAGTTGGCTTTGTTACATAACAGTCATAGCAACTGAACAAATCTTATCAGTCAAAGACACAGACAGCACCATGCAGGGAGAAAATACATCAGTCAACAACACACTAAAAACGTGGCATAGAACATGTAGGAAGTTTGTTGAAAAATAAAACAAGATGAATACTTTGAATGCTGGTGATGAACAGTCGGATTTGCATTCTTCGTAACATTGACCGTTACACGCTAAAATGGATGAGTAATGTTTGTATCAAATTATCTATGCTTAATTCAAGAACTTAATCCTGTTGCGCATTGATGTTGAATTCAATAACTAAATGCTATTGTGCATTAATGTTAAAATTGCTTTCTATTTTCGTAAAAGAGGTTTTTAGTTCAAAGTTGTTTTCATTTTTCCCCATACTTTTTGATCTCTTTTACCTCCAGCGTAATCGAGGAAGAATATTCAATACACATTGATCATGTCATAACTTATTACTTCCTACCACTCGATCAGTACTGTTGTTGATGCAATTACTTCCTAACACTCGATTAGTTCTGTTGTTGATGCTGTCTGATGATTTCAAAGGATAAATTTGTTTGTAGATTTCAAGTTTAAGAAAATATATGATCGTGTATACGTAACGACTGCCCCTCACTCAGGCATCGACAAAACGTAGACTGCTCTGGTTATTCCAGGCATAGTCAAAATGAAGACTGCTCTGGTTATTCTTTTTCATCAGTTTTTATTTTTTTTTTTTTTTTTGTATTTAAGCTCTCAAATAGTTTATTTGAGACTTGCAGTATATTTAGTCATGTCATGTCAGTAACTGCTAGTAGTCCTTTGTTAATTTGTGTATCATTGTCATTTTGCTTAGTTTTTTTTTTGTTACCTTTTCTCACATCGGACTCGGACTTCTTTTAAACTGAGTTTTATTGTGCGTATTGCTGTGTGTTTGTTTGTTCTACATTGGCTAGAAGTATAGGGGATGGGTTGAGATCTCACAAAACATGTTTAACCCCGCCTGCATTTTGCACCTGTCCCAAGTCAGGAGCCTCTGGCCTTTGTTAGTCTTGTATGTTTTTTTTTTTTAATTTGAGTTATGTGTATGTTTTGGAGTTTAGTGTGACGTCCATTTGCACTGAAGCCCGCGTCCGGGTGCGGGATTTTCTCGATGTGTTGAAGACCCATTGATGGCCTTCGGCTGTTTTCTGTCCTTTGATCGGGTTGTTGTCTCTTTGACACAATCCCCCATTTTCATTCTCAATTTTATTAGAATGTCAATCTGATAAAAGGATTAGATCTGTGTTTTACAGTGATTTTCGAACAAGCCTTTAAAACAAAAACACAAGCTACAATATACTTTTATCATGTGATACTCTTTGGTTGTTGTCCTTTCGGTACATAGAGTTCAATGTTTCATCGAAACCATAAGCAAGAAACACTTCAATATAATAAAACCTAATGGATATTTCGATTATTGTTTGGCAAGTGTAAAAGATCATTTTGGACGAAAAACAGTTGTGTTTCTGTTGTGTCGTAGTTCTCCTCTCATATTTGAAGTGTTTCCCTCAGTTTTAGTTTGTAACCCGAATTTGCTTTTTTATCAATCGATTTTTTAACTTCCAACAGCGGTATACTACTGTTGCCTTTATTTTTTGTCAATATTTTGAAGGGAAAATAGTTTAAATTTGTTGCAACGTGTTCATAGAAATTACATTGCAATTTATTTACGTATCCCTCCATGGTAACATAATTGTAATAGTACAGCTCATAATGCTTGGGAATCATATTTATATCATTTTTAAAAAGGCGTGTATAGGAATACGGTAATATCTTCAGACAGGTTGCTGTAAACATCCGCTCTGACTTATGGGAAAGTCTATTAAGTGTCAAAATAGTGTTTAGCTATGGAACAATTCAAAACAAAATATTTCGCCTTTATCAATGTGTAAAATTAGAGGTAAATATTGAATTCATCTTGTCATGGGAAACCACCGATTTACCATTGCATTTAGCTTTCTTACCTCTTAACCATCATGATAATTAAAGAAATACAAAAACAAAAAGTGTCTGCTGACATTGACCTAGCATACCAATTAGGATTATTAATGAAATCAATTAAACGTGTACCTTTTGGATTAAATGCGTCTTTGTCTTGGACGTCAATATGAATGAAATGTTTGCCTGATGACGTTTAGCAATTCAGACACTCAATTAACCTTCATTGGTTGATGCAACTATTGCAGATGTTTACAAAATGTATGTACCTTCATCATAATCAGAGTTAACATGATATAAAAAAACTAATGCCAGACTGCATTGCAGTTACATTATTTTCTTTGGATATTTTATAATGTTGCCAAAACATCAAGAAACACAACGAAAGACACATGAAAGAAGTGTAATGGATTTGTCAACGATTTTAGCATGTACATGTACCTAACGTTTTATAACACCGACTAGAAGGTGGTCGATCTAAATTAGACTTTGAACGCATAACTGGTATATGCACACTTTAATCGTGTATGTTTCATATATATTCAAGGATTAAAATGTGATAAGATACCTGTCTCACCTTCATCATGTATATGACATGTTTGTTGTTTTTTTTTTTCACTCAGAAAAATCCGTGGAGAATATCATTATATTTACATCTTTTGTTAGGCGAAAAAAAAATCTGTTTGACAGATTGAATTCTTTATAGAAAAACAGTCGGAGGTCACGCAATGAAAATTTGATAATCGAAACTAGAACATTGCCAGGCGTTAATAAAAAGACTGTCAGAATGGTCACTCATACAGCAAAGCACGTTTTATAAAACTTCATTACTGACTAAAATCCTTTGGTATCTCAATTCACTTTCATACACGCCCTATCAGTTCCAGAGACAAAACAGGGTTAAGATGTAGTTGCTCTAATTTGTATCTCCTTAATAAATATATGAGATCGGATTGATACTGTATCCTTATTTAAGGAAATATGATTTGTAGGATATATAAGATATCCAAAGGTAAACAAAGATTCTGCTGTCGAACTGTCAGTCTCCGAAGGTATCACCATCCCATAAATTCGGTATGGGCATAACAATACGAACATAATTGGTTTCTAAACTTTTGGAAAACATATTGGTTAAGGAATCTTTTTGTGTCTTTTGGTTTATAAGCTCTTCATTTTTTAATAATGTTTTGATTTTCAAATAGTTTGGCATCGATCATCACTGAAGAAATATTTATGTCGAGATACGCATCTGGTGCAGTAAAATGGTACAGTTAATGTTATTAGAAAATCGAGAGGATGTTGCGATTAACGAAAACAAGTTGCAA